ACAGTCCAAATTTGGTCACTCTCATTTTGTCTCCGTCAATTTCCGTTAACACCGTTAGTATTTTGCTGACATGGCTAACAGAAGTGATGATTCACTCAAATTTAATAAATAAATAAACTCAACCCCACATAAGAAAACTTGCCATGTCATCAATCACTCAACCTAACCACATTTTACCCGACCCTCTTCTTCAACCTTCCAGGAATTTCTCCCAAACCAAATCAAATCCACCACCCACCACCAACACCCTCTCCGCACCATCGTCGCTACCACCTCTCCGGACTCCGGCAACAACAACACGCCAACACCACAACCACTAGTCCGTTCCCTAACCCTCCACTATTGGCGCCATCCTCAAATCCATCACCACCAGCCCGTTCCTCTTCCTCGCCCGAGCCAGATTGACTGTCAGATCTGCAACCAATCCGTTCCTCTTCCTCAAATCCACTTCATCGGTTTCTGATGGCGTTCCAGAAATGCCACAAAACTATTAAAACAACTCCTTACAGATTCCCCTCCGCCAGATCCTTGCCGTATTATCCGCCGACGAACCAATCCTTCTCCTACTCCAGAAAGACCGGTCACATGTGCCACAGTTCAACACCAAACCATCGGCGCTCAGCACCATCGCATTTACCGCCGACTTGTGCTTCTCCATCGTTGGGAAGTGGCAAGGAGTCTTATTCTCATCCTTTCTCAGATCTGCTCCACCTCCTCCTCCTTATCCGCCACCATCGCCAAACCCTCAGCCGGATCCAACACCAAATCCGCCGCCAAATCCTCCACCATTACGAAACCCCTTAACCTCTGCTTCATATTTCCCAGCAAAATCCCTCGTCAAGAGACTGCCCACAAGAACCTGAAAGCAAACCAATTATAAGACAACAAGTCTCATATACTACTTCCCTTCCCCATTCTTGGCTTCTGTTTTGGGATGGATCTTTTGAAATGGAGGGGAAACTTGATTTGGTAAAGTATGATGAAAATATGATCTTCTTATAACCCAAAACATGTTTTTGATTTTGATCAGAGGTGGCCGTTCTGGATTTGGAGACAAGATGGGGAAGATGAGATGAACGAGGAAGGAGGAAGAAGGTTCGGGTCGGTCGGTCGGGTCAAATAGAGAAGAATATAGAAAGGGTTGGGTCATGGGTGGGGTTGGGTCGATTTTGATGATGTGGCGGGTTGGGTATTATTTTTGTTGGATTAAAATTAGCTGATTAGGCACTTCTGTTAGCCACGTCAGCAAATAACGGGCTTAGTTAATGGAGACTGACGGAGACTAACGGAGAGTGACCAAATTTGGACTGTTTGATTAATTCTAGTGACTGTGAACGGAATTAAATATTTCGAGTGACCAAACATGAACGTTTTTAGTAATTACAGTGACCAACCTTGCAATTAACCCCTTATTGTGTTGTTATTCTATCCGCACCCATCCATGTGAATGTGATGAACCAAGTAAAGTAGCCTTCTGACGTTTCTATGGAGTTTAAGTTTTAACCAGACAGGCTGGTGATGAGGATTAGAATGTGCTTTTCCCCCCTTCCTTTTCAACCTAGTAGTATCTCCAGATCCGGGCCTGGGTATAGCCCATTCTCCATGGGCCCATATTTTCTTTCAGTTTAACTAAAGTAGAGCATTGAATGCACTAATCCTTGGGCCGGCCAGCTAGTCTTCAACCCAAGGAAATCCCTCAATAGTCAATATGAAATGACCCGTGGAACTCACCCATTGCCACATAGCCTCCCCTTCCCTCTTTTATATAATCCTCACGATCTCACCTTAAATCATTGTTGTTGTTAGATTGATGCGGGGCACACGATTTTTGTTTCTAGAGAGCTCATTGTGTCTCTATATATCGTGTTTCTAGCAAAATAACTACAGCATTGCTCGTTGATTTTGAACTAAAAAAAATGTCAATAGCATTTTGTATCACTTTAATATTGCAAATTAACAGAGAATTAGATAAAAGGGTAAACTTGTTATGTTTTAATATTAAAAGGGTACAAAATGCTATTAACTCAAAAGATAATAATTGATATAATTGTGTAGTTCGGTTGCTTCAATTTTGGGATTATGACTCCATGCATACAATAGGATGAGGGTTTATGCCCATGTACGAATGCGTAGTTGATGGTTTTAAGTGTGTTCGAGGGATAATATTTTTTTTTGTTTACTTTGAGTACAGGCGAGGGTAGTGATGGCAATGGGTCGGGGCGGGTACCTCAATACCCATGCCCCACCTCATGCTAGTACGAGTCGGGGCGGGTAATACCCGCGCGGGTACAGGGCAGGGCGGGTCGACCCACTCTTACATGCTATTTGAGAAAAATACACACACAATTTTACTTTTTATGATAAAACGAAGGGGAAAAGACTTGATGAATGAATAATAGTGATAATATAATAAGTAATTGAGTCTATTTAGTTGAAAGATCAAGTCTAACTAGTTGAATAAAAACCAAAATAGGAGATATATGAATGGATGGGGTAAAAAATTGACCTAGAACGGGCTAAAAATGGGGCGGGTCGGGGCAGGGCGGGGCGGAAGTTGATACCCATGCCTCGCCCCATGCTAATGCGGGTCGGGTAATACCCGCCCCATTGCGGGTCAGGTCGGGTATTACCCGGCGGGGTGGGTTCAAATTGCCATCCCTAGGCGAGGGTGGGATAATCATATGTAATAACTGGTTAGACCGGACACTACTTTTATAAAAATACTCTTAGGGGTCGTTTGGAAGTTGCGATTGTTAAATAGATGTATTGTTGAGAATGCATGTATAATATTATACATGTATTGTCGAATTTGATGCATTGTAGAATACAATGTTTGGTATGTGTGATTGTGTATGTCGCATCAGCTAAAAGCTGAGACAAAACAATCTCAACTCAACTATCTCAACAATCACAACTAAAAGTTGAGATATAACAATCACTCAAAATGAGTGATAGTTTCTGTCACAGCACAGAAACAATCCATGTATTGTTTCTGTTAAAAAAACAAAAAAACGATGCATTGTAAACAATACATGCATAATGACAATCTCAACAAAACTATCGCAACTTCCAAACGACCCCTTATTAAACCGTTTGTCATAATCGAACTCCGGAAGACTTGAAAAGAAGAATAGAAAAATATTTCTTAACTATTCTTACTTTCTTATTCAAAATATAAAAAAATAGATATCATTATATAGATCATACTTAATGAGTTCTTTCTCATATAAAATTTTCTAGATTTTAAGTTAAAGCGAAAAAGATATGTAAATATACTATTGTATATCATGATATTATTACCATGGTAAAATCATGATGTGTGTAATGAACTCCTACAAAGAGGAAGAGGTGATATATGACACTGATTTGGTTACAGCCAATGTAATTATTTTGAAGGGTTTTTTGGTTTTTGCTCGGTACGAAATATATATCATAGTTAATACATTTTTTCTAACCCAATTAAAAAAAATTGAATTATAAAAAGTAAGGTGTGATTGTTTAAAAGTATCCTTTTTTTCTGAATTTCGTGTGAGTCAAAGAAAATAAGAACTTGCAAAATTTATCAATCCACCCTCCTTGTTCCTATATAAATTGTGGATCATTCATACCAAATCTAATAAATAAATGGAGATTATAGTTTTGTACTTAACACTCTCATATTTTATTATTGTAGTAAGTATTGGACAATAAACTTGAATCATCTTTTCTTTTCTTGATGGGACAGGTTACGGTGATTACTGTGAAATAGCAATCACCGTGGTTACTAAGGGCAAATTGGGTATAACACAAAATTTATTAATTACCTTTTTTAACAAATTATATTTCACAAAATACCAATACTATTGCAGATTTAATCAATATTACTACATGCAAATAAATACCATTACATGATAATCAATACCAATGCAAAAAAAAAAAAAAAAAACCAATGCGAAAATACTACCACTACAGAAAAATAACACTACCATTTCACAAAAAAATAATATGCTTATATGATAATCACTACCAATGCGGAAAAAATAATACCAATGCGAAAAACACAAACACTACGAAAAAATCACTACCAATGCGTAAAAAAGCAATACCAATGCGAAAAAACATTACCACTGCGAAAAAATCACTACCAATGCGGGGGAAAATCAGATCTAGATTTTTTATTCATTCCACCTTTTTCGGCCACAATCATCTCCCAAAGAGAGAGGGCAGAGAGAGAGAGAGAGAGAGAGAGAGAGAGAGAGAGGGTGCCCGCAACGGTTGGCGAGGGTAGCCGGAGTGGTGGGTGGCCGCCGGCAGTAGGAGGTTGGCTGAGGGTGGCTGGCTTTGGGAGGGTGGCCGCCAGCGGAGGAAGGGAATCACCGATAGAGAATGAGGATGGAGTAGGGTTTAGGTATATAATACATATAAATTAATTTTTTAAAGGATAAAAATCAGGTGTGATATTTTTTTTATTCTCAAAATTACCCTTAATCTAATCCTCACCTTCAAATCAAAATTCGGGTGAAATAGAGATAATGAAGGATGTAGATTTTAGTAGCCACCGTGATTACTCAATTTCGTGTGAGTCAAAGAAAATAATAACTTGCAAAATTTATCAATCCACCCTCCTTGTTCCTATATATAAATTGTGGATCATTCATACCAAATCTAATAAATAAATGGAGATTATAGTTTTGTTCTTAACCCTCTCATATTTTATTATTATAGTAAGTATTGGACGATAAACTTGAATCATCTTTTCTTTTCTTGATACCACAATAAAATAGAGGCATGGGCACAACCCGTGGTCTTATCCCCTTCTATCATTTGAGGTGAAGCTATAAAAAAATTAATGAGTTCGATTTTTCTTCTTCTTAAAACTACACGATAGACTTGAATCAAACAAATAGAAAAATATTAACTATGCTCTTTCTTACAAAATCACTTTTCCCCACCTATAAATACCTTTTGCACACGGCTATTCCCCCCACACCACAAGCTACAAATATATCCTTCATTCCCCTATGGCTGTTCACATCCACTTATTGGATAACGTCGCCATAAACTTCCATATCACTGGCAAAAATCTTCCCTTGCCTCCTGCAACGGAAGCCGAGCTCCGTCAGTTCTTCATGCAGTTCGACGTCAACAAAGACAAGCAGCTTTGCAAGGAAGAGCTCAAGAGAGCATTCAACAGCCTGGGCGCCATCATCCCAGGTTACAGGGCCCGCCGCGGCCTCGGCCTCGCGGATGCCGACGGCGACGGGAAAGTGGACGTCGTTAACGAACTCGATCATCTCGTTAGATATGCTTTGAGGCTCGGCTACTCCGTCAAAAATTAATGGTAATGATAATGATACATATGGCGCGTTTGGTTTCTGTTTTTCTTTAATGGTACTTGTAATGTGTGTACTATGTTTGTTTTAAGTTTTAACAAACGAGTCCCTACGTATTATATTAGAGTATGTGTAGTACGAGTAGTATTATGTTATACTACGAGTACTGTTATGTAATTGGTCAGAGTTATATTCCTAATCAGAATCGTATTAGTGTTAGGGTTATTATAGAAGTCAGTCTTTGTACTCTATATAAACCCCATGTGGTGTTAGTAATAATACACAACAGTTTCCACCATATTAGAAGCAAGAGCTTGCAATTTATTGATCAAGGAAGGGAAAAAGACTATCCTTTAGCGGTTAAGTAGGACAAGGAAGCAGAAAGAGAGGGATCCCCTAAAAAAAAATCTTCTGGAACATCTATAGATAAATCGCTATCTTACCAAATTCACCCGGTCTAACCACCAGTTATAAAGGTTATGCTAATAGCAGCGCCGGGCGGCTAAGTTGACGAGATCTGGGTCTTATAACCGGTGGTAGAGGACTGGCAATTGGCACCTCCTCTACCATAGTGTGAGCTGCTCCCAGTTCCGAACTTGGCCTTGTTGGATCGATCAAGACAACTTCCCTCCATTCATCCGACCGGGGGTGTGGATAACGAGGCCACCTTCACAACCTTCTCCCTCTACAATAGGTCCTCCTACCTTGTACGGCATAAATAAAGGATGTACGCCTTTGTTCATACCCGGATGCCAGAGTTGAAGTTTATCCTTGGGGGGAGCCGAAGTCCTTGTCTATGTTAGAATATGGTGGAAACTGTTGTGTATTACTACTAACACCACATGGGGTTTATATAGAGTACAAAGACTGACTTCTATAATAACCCTAACACTAATACGACTCTGATTAGGAATATAACTCTGACCGATTACATAATAGTACTCGTAGTATAACATAATACTACTCGTACTACACATACGTACCTCCTATTGGTTTTTGCCGCGTGTAATATGTAAGCAACTAAAAATATATATCATCCATCTACTCTAGTCATGTACGTGCATGTATATATATGACCATGAGAGGTATTTAGAAGCTTCTTTTAGCCTTTGTAGGGCTAGAGTTCATAAAAGGTACTTATAGAAATGGGTGAAAATGCATAAAATGAGAGGAAATAATTTTATGATGGCAAATTTACTAGCTAGGTACTCGACCCTTCCCTATTTCACGATCTACTACGTACATGTAGATAGGTATGTCGATATAGTTGTGAATATCATATTGTCGGTATGATTTGAATCGGATTAATTGTCGTTGACTAGAAGTTACGAGAATTTCGCTGCACATGCTAAGAGTCGATCATGATGAGCAAGTAGTGCACATGCTTGCTCAACAACCTCTCCGAGTCTCTCCAAGTTGGGGAGGATCGTCCCTACGATGCCCATAGAGAAAAGGTACGTAGGTCTAGAGAGGTGGTGGGTGGAAGGACCACATTGGAGCAAGTCTTTTCAAATTATTCCATGGCAAGCTCCAATGGGCTCTTGAGCTCCGGTTGTGGAGGGAAGTCTTCTTGGTATGAGGAAGCTTCTTGTCCCAAGGGTATTGTGGTTCTTCATAAAAGGGAGGTTGGTCATTGACCCCGTATACTTGACTTCCACCTTCTTGATTGCTCCATAATTGAGATCCATGATTGGAGAAATCAATGAGATCCATGATTCAACCTACACAAACAAAAATACCTTCAAACACAAAGGTGGGAAGAAAAAAAGCAAAAACATCTAAATTAACAAATCTAACCCTTTCCTAGCTAATAAGTCCTCAGAAATGGCGCCAAAAACTTGACTTGCTCTAAACTACACTCTCACTCGAAGGCCAAGCGTAACCATTGATCGAGTACGTTATAGTAGAAGTAAGTAATAAAATATTGAATCCATAGATCTTTAAATGTACTATTACTCCACTTCAGTTTGTTATCTATCAAAACAGGGTTTGCATTCCAATAACTACTAACAAATACACTAAGTTTAAACGACTAATTACAGGTTGGGAGCTATCACTTAGCCAATGAATCCCCATAGCCACTAGAATCACTAAACAAGGTTAAACAACATGTGTATGTTATGAAGCATATCTAGAATCTAAAGGCTAAGAGCAATCAATCTATCATACTGAAAAGTGGATAGTGTATACATGGATTAGAGGTGGCTATACTGTCCGGTCCAATTAAATTGGCCCAAATTTATCAGGTCTCGATTCGGTCTTTTCGGGAATATAAGGACCAAATATTGGATTGGATACAGTCTGGTCTTGATCTTGTCTAGTCTTGAACTGGTCTGGTCTTGAACCGGTCCGGTCTCAATTCGGTTTTGATTTTAGATTGAACTTGTGGGGATTTGAGTGCCTGAGGCCCGAAAGGGTGAGGAGTTGGTTAAATTTTGGGTGTTGGGCTCTCTTATCCGGTCTTTATCAAGCTTTCGGTCCGGTCCCATTTGGTTTTTTTACCTCAAATCTAAACCCGAAGATGGGTTTGGATTGTTTGCTATCCGGTCCCGGTCCGAGTTATACAGTCCGGTTTCGGATAAAACCAAAAAGCCCGAACCAAATAGTCACTCCTATCATGAAAGATTAGGAAAGGGTGGTATGAACTAGGAGACATATTAAGCTTGGAGATTAATGGATACATGAGAGCTTGGGTATGTGTTAGCACCAAATTTTCCCTTGAATTCATCCATAGTGACTTAGCATTGTTATGACGTATGAGTAAACACATATCTTCAACATAAAACCATTGTGTTGCAAGTATCGCTCAAAGCAAACTGTTCTAGCCTTCATGGAGATAACTGAAGGTAAAACCCTAGAGCATTGATGCTAGCTCTTATACTATGTGAATTTGCTAGTGTACAAGATTTAGAACTATGAGCCAGCGGAAGGAAATAAAAACTGAAATGCAAAGAGAGCTCAATACACGCCTTTCTAGACCAAAGGCATATACCATATTGGGCCCTTAAAGTCAAGGTCCGAAAAGAATCAAAGTCCTCCCCTTTTACGAAGTTCCTGCTATTAATTACGAATGTATTTTTGTACTCAGTATTCACATATATATAGAAAACAATTCCTTGCATGAAACTGAACCAGAATCTTAGAGCGCCACCTCGACCGGAATATAATCCGACTGTGGTCCCATTTGCGCCGGCCGGATCTCCTAACAAACTCATTCTGGCCGGTCGACTGTCTTCTTCGGATATATTTATCTTCTTCTTGTAAGTTCGTCAAGAATTATTTCGAGTCCCTAAGGATATCAAGAATCAGCCAACTGGACAGGAATCCGCTTGCTACTATCTTTGCCCAAAAGAAAATCTGCCATTGTTATCTTTAGGACTCTGAACTGGTCTTATCCGTATTTGTTGTGCATGGTGTGATATAACGTGCAGGTGGCTGTGGGACAAGTACTCCTAAAGAATGAATATTTATATCTCGCTAATAATTCGAGTTATTTGGATGATTTATCATGACATTAAGGGGTCGTTTGGAGAACAGGATTCAGGACGTGGATTTACTGAATCCGTAGATTTTATAGAAAGTTATGTTTTTTTGTTGCTTTTTGTATCATGGATTCTAGCTTTAGAGATTTCAAATCTCTAAAATCTGCAGATATCAAATCTCTCATAATTAGAGAGATTCTATATCTTGATTCGTGAGATTTTTTTTCTCCTAGTTTTTCTCTTCTTTTTATTTATTTATCATATGAAATATATTTATCAATAAAGTTTTTAATATTTCTTGAACCACTCTAATTTTTTTATTAAGGATAAACATGTTATTTAATATAATATTAAATTTTTATTTTTATTGAATGTTAACAATCACAGTTACCAAACAATAAACATTTTAAAATCTGTTTTCAACAATCCGAAGAGTTAGAATCTTTAGATTGTTAACAATCGATAGATTTAAACTCATATTCTCCAAACGACCCCTAAATTCTTTGATGAAGAGGTTTTATGGTTTGAAATCTTAATCACAGCATTATTAGAGAATTTTTTTTTTTGCGTGAAACAGGAGGCGGAAGCCAAGAAGATTACAAAGGGGGGATTAGGAAGATGGGGAAAAAGAGCTGGAGACAACCCTTCGCTCGAAACTAATACCCATCATAAAGTGGTGTCGCTAGACACGAGTCCACTGGGGTCCTTAAAAATTTAGTAACACTAACGCTTGTGTATCTAATGAATTTTGAGTTGATCGGGATCTTTAGTGAGCTAACATCGTTGAAAGTATGGGGTATTAAACTTGAACTATCGTACTAAAACATATGTATCTAAAGAGTTTTGTCTGCCACGGCCATCATATCATCACGCAGAGTCAAGGTTAAACCTGTTGACGGGTTCGCAAGCTCATACATACCGAAAAAGGATAGACGAGACTGTGCTTCGAGTCTGTGGCTCTATTCCCTTCTCTGTACGTATGAGTGATGCGGACCAGCCAATCTCGGCTTACCTGTCGACGAATCGCTGCCAACAAGGTTGCATAAGGGTTAACTGGATCTTGTCTATCATCGACGAGCTGAATCGCTAATTGAGAGTCCGACTGCACTATAATGGCACAATGGCCCTCCTTCCAAGCAAGCTCAAGACCATAAAACATGGCCCAAATTTCCGCAAGGGCAGCTGACGCTGAATTAAGATTTGCCACAAAACCAGCATTCCACTATCCTGTGGAATTGTCTATCAGACCTCCTGCACCCGTTGGGTTGGGATTTCCACATGATGCTCCATTTATGTACAAAGTCGTCCAACCATCCAACGGGTGTGCAGGAACGGAGTCAGAATTCTCGATTAGAAGGGACCAATTTTGTTCATATATAATTACCAATTTGATAATTCAAAACAAAATTACTGTTGATTTCAAATTTTAAAATAAATCCAGTCGTAAAATATAGTTGACATGACTATTTATAAATGATAACATGATAAATTTTCAAAGAAATTAACTTACACAGAAAGGGTAAT